TCGGGGGATATTGCACTACTTCCAGTGTATTTTCACTATCAAAATTCGACTGTGTTCCTCTTGGGCGAACAATGCCAAAAAAATTACATATTTTAGCACATAGACTGGATCCATTCAATAATCCGCTTTGCTCATCTGGTTTTCTTCCCCTCACTAGGAGGTAACTTCAGTGCGGAGAACTACCGCAACGCTGTCTCTGAAAGAGCATCTGTAAATTTGGTAGGGCAGAAGTGGTGAAAATAGGGGAAATGAAGGATTTCGCTTGAATGTTGTGTGTGTATGAAAACATTTTATAACGCAGTCTCTGTGTTTCATCTCTTAGCTGTATACACAGACCGAACTGTGCGTGCGGGTAGGAGTAGGAATCATCAGTACAACCTCCTAGGATTGGGATCAAACGTTAAGCTTTTTTGACAAAGAAGGCATTGTTGTTTCTTTCAGGGAGGACCACCAGGAGCTTTTCCTGGATATGGTGGGGCACCAGGTTATGGCGGATATGGAGCACCAGCTTATGGAGGATATGGTGGTTATGGTTATGCTGATGCGCAAAGTCCACTTGATGCTGAAATCCAGGTTTGTGACCTCCATCAAATCTTCTTTTGCGCAGTAATTTTTTGCTATTTCAATATGGAATCGTGGACCCGGTCAAGCGGGAAAGGTTCACTTTTGCCGTTACGTTGTTATAATTATAAATGTTGTCTGCCTTGATTCATAAAATATCAGCTAATCGGGAAAACAAAACTTCTGTGAAGAATGCGAAAGTCAGAAGTAGTAGGATAGAGGGATTGGTCTTAAGTGAAATGCGCTTAAGTGTTCTGTTGCATCCGTCAAACTGGCGAGATCCAGTTGTAGCACTGAATAGGAATGTATGGGATTTGATGGACCGAAACATTCCAATTCAGATTTTTTATTTTGTATTTTGCACCTTCATCTTTTTATAATTTTTAACAGTCATAAAATATCAAAATTTAAAATGCGTAAGAAGACATTTTATGATGCAGTGTCTCTGTGTTTGTTTTATCCCTTAGCTGTAAACACGGACTGAACTTTGCATGCGAGTAGAAGGGGAAAAAACCAGCATAGCTCCAACAGTTAGGCAGTCATTTTGGATTAAAGTGTTAGTGACGTTACTGAAATACCCCGTGCATCGGGAACTGTGTTTTGCTTCTTGACTTAAAGTAGCGTACTGCTTGGTTAGCACCTACCTTTTATTTTTAGGATTTGAGTAGTTTTTTTTTTTTTGGAGGTTAGTCGATGTTAACATAATTCATTGAATTTGATTTCAAAGGTAAATTTTTGGGTACAAATGTATGCAACGAAGCCCTTAGTTTGCTTTTTTTAAAGGAGTTTGTTGAGGGAAAAAGGCGATTGCTGTAATTCCAGCCATTTTTACCAGTATCCTTATGCAAAAAATAATTTAACTACTGCTGGAAGCTGAAAATTTCCAGGTTGTGATACGCGAGATTCATAACGAGCAGCAGCTGATGGAGCAGGGTGGTGAATGGGGTGAGC